ATAGCGGGATACGTCTTCATTATGACTTTATATACTTTGGTGAGCTTGCACAACCCCCTCTAAGTTAAAGTATATGTTTGACGATACGGATTCTACCGAGCGCTATAGATGTTTGAGACAAGAGCGTACGTGCTCGAGCCCGATCATAAATTGCTTCTTGTATCTCTCGCATTTTTATCGATAAAGAAATCGAGTCGGTGGCTTCAAAAATCTACGCGCGCAAACGCCTTATTCTATTATTTCAAACAAGCGTTTGTTGCCGCGTTACATGTAGTTGCTTCGGGTTATTGTAAACCTCGATTCCACGCTACTTTTACTGCCTCGCGGATCCCGTACTATGCGTGCACTCGAGCCTTGTCTGCGTGGGCTTGTCTGTTTCTATACATATATATATTTATGCATACGCATACATGGAGCGAGAAAGAGAGAAGGAAATCGGAAACTCTCAAGAGGAGCTGAAGTCAAACATAAGTTAATTTTCCGAAACAGAGTTAAACTTGAAGTTTCGTATGTCACGAGCGAGAGATACACTAGCTACTCTCTACCGCGCTGTGATTCTCTTTGGCTCACTTTTGCTCTATAGTGCAGGATGCGCAACTTGAGTTCTTTATTATATGAAAATAAATCCTAACTAGATAAGTAAAGATGTTATTGTTATGCGATTTTTGTTGTTGTTAAATACTCAACTTTCCGAAAGATCCTCTATGCGCATTATGATCGCTCGAGCCAGTTGAAGCGTAAAATAAAAATAAAATATTTTATCTCTGTTATATACTGTACATACGAAAGTCGATTCGTCATCGTTCTCTTCTTCTTTTTCTTATTCTGTTATTTTTCAGCGGTAATTGTAGCGGAAGTCGTTAAATGCACAACCTTTAAAAAGCAGTTTTTGTGCAATCGAACGAAATCTAGATTGATTATTACTTCTTTTTTCAGTCTCTGATTTGCGACGTCGTGCGCATTCGCGCGAACTTCATTCGATATACTTCGCAAACCTTGGGGGATTAAATATCAATAGGAATGCTTCCGTTTTATGCGACACGCGGTAACCGCAAGTTACAGTATGGCTAAAAATGAAGCCCTACGGTGCAAAACGCCAGACAGTCATGAAGCTAAAGGGTTACAGAATGTAAACCAACAAGCTCTAATCGGTTTAATTGGCTAATTCATGTTTTTTCTTTACTATATAAATAAGACAAAACTATTTTTATCTTTTGTTTAAAAATGTAAGTTGCGCTTGCATTATTGACTCGAAAGCTCGAAAAGGTAACATTGGTTTATTTAAATACACATAAATTAAAGTTGAAAAACATTTGTCTCTGCTCCGAAATAGCATCGAACGTCCCAAAAATCTCGAATCTTTGCAAGCTCTGATTTTTAGCTGATTTCTTTTTCACCCTCCCCAAAAGTTCGTGCGGAGGGGCCAAGTAATGATTGAATTCACGCGCGAAACGTGTGTATAAATTCAAATTAAATGACTGTAATGCAATGCCATTGCAAATTTTACCTCTGACGCTTCTCCTATCTAACTTTGGCGTCATGCTTCGCATACGTATGTGTGTGAGTGTCGCTGTATTCACGGTGCGTGCAGTACACGCTGCTTCTCTCTCGGTGCTGCTGCTGCTATGTATAAGCTCGTCGGGCGCGCAGTTGGTGTATTACGTCACTCAACAATCTCGAAAGTGACGTGCGCGTTACCCTATTTGTATATATGTACAGTAGGAGAGCTGCTAGCGCGACACATGCTGCTGCCGCTGCATAATACGAAAGAGATGTTGGTCGAGCTTTTTTTTGTAATGCGCTTTATTGTAAATGATCGAGCAAACAGGTTTTTTTTCTCTTCAGATTCTCGGTATAGGATATACACATGCCTGGCAAGATCGTAATTTTCGCTCGAGTTCGAAAAGTTCGCGTAAATCGATACGAAGCGATTCTACTGTTTGCCGAAAGCAAATTTGGTTTGTTCGCACTACGGGACGACGACGTCGACGACGATGAAGAGAGGTAAAAAGGCTCGAGCGCACAGTCGAAAGAAAGAGAGAAAAAAAAGACGCAGCTCGTGTTTTGGCCAGATCGTTAGGAGAATGTGCGCGTCGAGTGTGCAGCAGCAGTATACAGAAGCCGAGGCGTAGCCTACATTCGTGTGTGTGGGTCCAAAAAGTACGTGTGGGTGTGCAGTAGCTGCTACAATGTAGCGTATATAAGCCGGCGAACTGCTAGTATAGAGAAGCGAGTTGTGCAGCAGCAGACTTTGGCAAGCAGGCAGGCACCGTGTGAAGTGGGGAAAGATCAATACAGCGCAGCGGGCAGAATGGGAAGATGTGCATGTGATCGAAGATTCGACGGACTCGCAGCAGTAGAGTGTGCACGGAGAGAGAGAAGAGCTATATAGCAGCAATGGCCAGTGAATATGAGCGCAGTACAGCTGGGATATAACTGTACGCTGGGAGAGAGAGAGAGAACTAGAGACTAGCTACTATAGCTAGCCGCACTGTTAGAATTGATGCATACACTTGTTTCGAATCCGCAAGCTTTCTCTTTCTCTCTCTCTTGGCAATTTTGCCTTCGCCTCCTATTCTCTCTCTGTTGCTGGTCTGCTCGTTCTAAGAAGTCGCTGCTGTATACCGTAGGCGTAAGATAAAGCGAGCACGTCATAGCGATGCCTCTCTATACATTTTGTATCTATATGTAATACCGCAGCTCTAGGTAGTATTTGCACTAGGATAGAGCTTAAGGAGCTTTTTCATATACATATATACGTGGATGCAACAAAAGTCGAACGCATGTAGAGCCCAAGTTACTGCGTTATCTCGCAGGTCGTTCGATCATTTTTCGCCCTCCCCCTCTCGCTGATCCATGTGTCCAATGTAATAATAATGCCGTAATAAAAAACGATGCCATCTCGAGCGCGGCTTTGTTGTCTACGCAGCGGCTTCGAATGTGAAATATAAATAATCGGAGCTTTGCGGCGACTCATCGTAAAACAAACGCGCGTTACGTTATGGAATACGGAGAATCGACGTTAAACTCGATACGCGTGTGCACCTATGCCGTTGCTGCCGAACTGATAAGCCGCGCGATGCTCCGGCTGGCAATCTTACTTCTTTCTTTCTTGCTTGCTTGACTCACTATTTTGCGATGTTATTAAACACAAACGATCGAAAATATATTCCGAGCCAGCTGTTGATGCATAGCCGCGGGTAATAAAGCTCGCTATGCTCTTAAAATACATCATCAATTCCGTCAGCAGAAACGCGCTCGATGTACTACCTATACGTACTCTCGTATCGTTTTAGTGAGACTATCAAGCTTAATCATAGATCGTCCCCCTCGGTGGGAGACTCGATCGCAAAGTCAACTACTGCGCAAAAACTACACACACACACGCACAAGAATAGACTTGACCGCGAGCAATGTGTAGCGTTGATACGAAAATTTCAAATCGTCATCGCTCCCAAGTTCGACTTTGTTTATCGATCGAGAGGACCTTGTAGCTTTTTACGCGCGATTGCACATTCGGTATATTCCAATAATATGAACTACGTGCAACTTTGTCGGTGTAACTCTGCTCGTAAAAATGGACATAATAATGATTGTGCGACTCGAGTCCACGCTGCTCGCACGAAACTCGATGATCGGCAAAGTGGCTCGAAGGCACAAATCGAGTCTGCACCGCCAGCAGATAGATGGATAGATGACTCTTTGGGATCGGCCAATGGCACGTAGTAGGCCGCGTCGCGCACTACTGGCAGCAACGAGGACGCTTAAGTAAAGCCTACATCGAGTCGTCGTTCTCTCGAATAAGTGGACATGCACTAGAGAGAGAGAGTCACGTTAAATAGGCCCCAGAGAGACTCGAGTGCTTAGATCCTACACGCGTTATAGCTCGGGTACATGGCACGGCCAGAGTTGACCATTGCATCTTTTAAATTGAAATGGTATAGGACTTTTTCTGTTCCAGCTAAAGATATATATATATATTTGCTCATTTTTTTAATCAAACGATATTCGAGGCGTCGATGAATGTCGAAACTCGGACGCGTCGAGTTAACATGATCATTCGTACACGACGAGCCAATGAATCCTATGATTAATTCAGTCGAGTCTATTTTCTCAGCTTCGCGAAAGCTGCTCGCTTTGATCGATGCATATTAACGTACACGAATCGAGCGATGAGTTTATGATCAGTACATGCTGTACCATGTAAATTATTCTATACACGAGCTTTGTATACTTTTGCGATATGTACAACGACGTGTGTTCCAGGAATTTCGACGCATATTCATCGATCGGGTTAGTGTATCAATTTACTTGTTCGCTACTCATTGTGTTGGAGCTATTATTGTAAATGCATCAACTATCGAACGTGTTTATTATGTAGATATATCGCGAAATCTTCTAGAAAAAACTCGTATATACCGATATCTAGTTTCGTCTAGTTTTCGTGGGTTTTTCTTTCTCTCTACTAATCACCGGTGAATTTGAACGAAATCTGAGAATATAGCCGGGGAAATGGTCCAAGGGAATTTTTTTTGCTAGCTTAAATTTTAACGTACAGCAAAGAAAAAAAAATTAGTTTGACACAGTACGTTGACTCGAACGCGTGTTATGTGCACGGAAAGCCCCGCGATGTCTAATCGACATGCTGTAGGAATATCCAAAGAAAGAGAGAGAGAAAAAGGAAGAAACAAGTGGAGGCAAACGATTATCGTTGGATTATCAGCGACTCTCGAGTCGTCCGCACCTTCCGCAAAGTATATTTTGTGTCGTTCCTCCTCCTCCTCCTCCTCTTCTCTCGGTCTCTCCACGGCTATGTTTAGTAGTGTATGTGCACGTCGACGCATGAACGAACTACACGCATAACACAGAGAGACAATTGACACACTCGTACGTATGTGTGGGTATGTTGTGCGGCTCGTCCGTGTTTTTCCCAGTGTGGCCTTCCGCTGTGTACAGACGGAGTAGGTATAGCGGCTCGAGCATATAATATAGCGGCTCGGCGGGACTCGTCAGTATACATCGAGATTGAGACTCGGCGCGCACACGCTACATTGTATACGCTCGATTGTTGATCCACAGCTCCAAGTTTCGTGTATCGTTATTTTATTTACATTTGGTTGTAGAATTTTTTAATCAACGAAATCGTAACCATGAAGGCTGGACTAGCTCTGGTTTTTCTCGCGGCGGTGGCTCTGCTGGCCCACGTCGACGCATTCCCAGGTGAGCATTAGTTTAATAACGATACACTACACGTCCGTCCACGTCCATCCTGACGATCCGCGTGCGCATTTTTAATTCTTCATCTACGAATCGGATCGATTATAGTGGCGGTATAATGAAAAAAAAAACTCGTTACGTGATACGTGCCAATTTACATCGTTGTCTATAATTCGCGATCGAATTAAAAATATTTGTCGGCTGGACGAACGAACGAACAAACTCGGCAACAAGTGTCTCTATTGTGTATACACACATAGCAGCCTCGCGGATATATACATAATACAAATTGTGTGACGCGCGTGTATCGGTGCGCGGCGGCTCACGACCTAGGTTCAGCTTTTTTTCCCCGCAATTCCAGAAATTACGATTCCTTCCTATTTTGTTTGTTGCTGCTTTTTTGTATATATATTTCTCTGCCAAAGGTTTCGTGCGCATTACGCGTCGAAAAAAATTGAGAGCCAGCAAAATCCAGTTTCTATCTCGCGAATATATACACGTATATACAGTGCGAGACGAGCGAGCCAAGTCTGTCTGCTGTGCGCGCGCTCAATTATGAATAGAAATGCATCAAACGCGAATGTTCTCGAACGAATTTCTTGAAAGAAGAATAATATAATGCGCGGGATGAAACTTGCTCGAATTGCTTCGTATGAATCATTAGCCGGTGTATTGCATGTTACGTACTTTTTTTTCTTCTTCTTTTGAAATAATAAATTGGACACAATGCGCGCGAGAGAGCATATAATAATAAAAAAACTCAAAGAGGAGAAAAAGAAAATACCAACAAAAAAAATACAAAACATGAATTTTCTCTCTCGGAGGGCCCGCAAGCACAAAACTTGGCTATTTTATTTGCTCGCTCGGGCGATGGCACTATATAGGTGTGATTGTAAACACACTCTAGTACTAATTCCCTTGGTACATACTATAAATACTTTTACCTTAGTCGCGGGCATATATTTACATGTATGCCGCGTACCTATATATATATTCTCTCGCAAGTAAATATTTTCCCAGTGCCTCGGGTATACAAGCCTAGAAACAAGTATAAAAGACCTCCTCTCTGCTACTCTACTCTCTATATATATTTGGGCCCTCTCGACCGTTCCCAATTAATCCCGTAGTGTAACTTTTCATTAAGCACAGCCTTAATGCTACATTCGTTCGTACCTTGCCCTCCTCCTCCTCCTCCCCCGTGTTTCAAACTACGTCGGGCCGGTGTGTAAGTAATTGTTCCTAATCCGGTTCGATTTTAAATCAATTTACCGGCGAGGAAAAGGAATTAAGTTTAAAAAAAAGATTTACAAAAAAAAACATACAAACAACTAAAGATTACGTGTAATTGCGCGATGCACGGCAAGTTGGATAACGCGCTGATACATACATTTGACTCAGCTGAAAAAAAAAAAAAAAAGAAGCGTCTCTGCCAGTCTAGAGATCGGACTTTAATTACATTAATGCGACACGGAATGACTCACGCCGTTGACTGCCAATCTAGCGGCGAATTTTTTTGTCCCCTGAAAAGACCTTCGCGACACATACTGTGCAACAATCGACCTTCCCACGGGGAATTTGGATTTTCATAATAATATCTGGCTGATTTCGTACGATACACCTGCTTGACTTCCGGCGTTATTGTGTGCAGGTACCCGTTTGAAATTTTCGCCTAACGCATATTGCGACGTGCCTCGGCGATTGTTTTGTCGCTTCTATTATTTTTACCGTGCATTAAAATTAATTTACATAAAGCGACGGTTTCGAGGGAAAATAGCTGAACTGACGGACGGATCGACGCGCCGCTGCATTTTAATATTCAGAGCTGTTCTTGCTCTCTCTCTCTCTCTCTCTCTGCGGCCGCAATAAAGACACATATTTGTTTAGCGACGACGACGGCAAAAACGTTCGAAGGAAAAAAGCAAAGGCAATTATTAAAAGCGCGATCCGCGGTACGCGCTGCAGCGTAGATAGTAACTGATTAATTTCGCGCTATGCGCCGGGCCATTCTCGCGGATCGCTATGATGCGCGGCGTATAATTTCGGTAGGACATAAATATGCATGCGAGAATATGAATAATATAATAATCCGCGCGGCTAGTTTTCATCCGCGGCTCAACGCAATAGCAGTCTCCGATGCTTCACATAATAATGCGTGTGCATCGTCGGTATACTCGCTGCGCGCCACGTATATCATACGTAATACTCGGCAAAATATTTATGTTGCTCGCGTAGAGGCATTCAATACAGCCCGCAGGCAAATATATCGTTTTTTGCGCGCGCGTCGCATTAAAGAGACTGAACTCCATAAGCAGATTTTCGATACATAATAGCCTGCTTATATTCGTAATTCTCCGTCTTTTCGTGCACGTCGTACGAGTGAAAAAGGGGAAAAAACGAAGTGAAGTTCGCGCTTGCGAACGCGTAACTGGCTGCTGCTGATGCTGCTTGAGGCTCTTATGTTATTAGCACGCAACCGATGTAATTATCCTCGCGCACACACGAAACGAGACCGATTCGACCGCGAGTTGAACGTTTATCCTTTTAGCGCGCGATTTAACGAAATAATTGGCGAAAATTCATTAGCGAAGATTAACTCGAGTCGTCGAAATTTCGAGAAAACCTCTCGAAGCTTTGTTTTGACGGCCTATCTCGTGATTATCGACAACTTATAGCTGGGTGTATACAACGTAATATTTTTCTCGTCCGAAGCTGCTGCTGCGGCAGGATGTGCTCGAGGTACATTACAACCTTATAACGGTACACTACATATACTTGTCGAGAGGTGCGAAAAACTCGTTCGATATTACGTTTCCAAGCTGCACAGGCGCAGCGCACGATGATGTACACGCATACAAGTATATAAAATCAGCGCTAAATTCGCTCGCGTTTTCGTATCGTAAAATACGCGCGAGGAGTCGATCATTCAATGTTACAATATTATCGCGGCGGAGGTTCGAGAACTGACCATCGTGTTCTTGGAAAAAATAATTATATACGATATTGCCGCTCGGCTAACGGTATTAATGTGCCAAGCTTCAAATGCGCAGACGACTCGCGAGTCGCATGATTTTATTATTTTTGCAAAAAGTTAACAACAGCGTCGCAACGTTCTGATGAAACCGTCGTCTTCGCGTGTGTGTATATCTCGGAGAATTCCCGTTATTATAGCGAGGCGCGCGTGCAACGCAATCTATATTTATTCCAAAACTTTGCGACGATAACTATATACACGAGCCTATCGCTCTTTTTTTCCTGATAAATATGCTGCCATCGTGTGTGTTGTACATCCGTTTGAATTAATTGTCGGCCGCGGCCAGAGAAATGAATCATAATTAGCAGCACCGAGGAGAGATGCGCGCGAAACTATCTGTATATAATAACAATTACACAATTCAGAAAGCTCGTGACACGAATCAGAAATCAAAAAGTATTATTGTTACATCGCGCGCGATCTACGAGAAGCTCATCTATTTTTTTTTTTTTTTTTTTTTTTAATTTTTGGCAGATTTTTCATTGTATTTATACGCGAAATCCCGTCAGTCAGTGCCGCGCCGAGCTGCGCTGCGCCATTCGCTCGGAATATCATCTCACATTTCATTTTGACACTCTTGTGTTCCTCTCTTTTTCGTTTATATGATGAAGCTCGTGTCAAGATGTCATGATCTCGCGAACGCGACGGCATGACATTCGCGTTGCTGTGCGCGCTACATACGAGTACCTACATAATATTATATCTATATATTTGCGCACGGAATATGCAAGTACATATATACATACGCATACACACGTATATATGCGATGTACTCGCGAGCATATGTGCGTACATATTCATTTTATACTGCGCGGGGGAGGCGACTCGTCGGCGGCTGGCAGGAAGGATCATTCGTGTGTGTGGCATACGCGGCGGTGTCAAAAAGCTCGAAACAAACTCGTTACTAAGATAGGCATCGAGTATATATAGTAATTCATGGGCGTTATGTACGATAAATCATTTTTGCGATGTATGTAGAGCAGTACGTGAATTTCACTCGTCCACGCAGCGAGTCGCCGCGAGCGAGCTCGTTTGATTTTATTAGCTTGAATTGGCCAAGTCGTCGAGTGCACGATAATGCCTCATTATCGAATGTACGGTGCAAAAAAAAGCTCGAGTTCGATGCAGATTTAATGTAAAATTATCAACGTATGACTGATAACTATATTTTACATAAAACGTAAAATGCAATATTATGAATAATATTTCATGTAAAAATGAACTAAAAATTCAATTCTTTACCCAAATTTAAATATTTTGACTTAAACAGCTGGAAAAATGTATAAGAATCCTATTGAAATTAAAGCCAACCTGCGCCACGAGATGGCGAGTACCTTTTTATCTATAAACCTGCAAGTGGCAAAATTAAAATAGTTGTATATAAAGGAGAAAATTAAATAGTAATTTTTCAGTCTTGAGTAGTTAGACATTACATAATTAAATTCAAATGAATAAATTAAGTCGAATTGACGTTTTTACATTTAAATGAAAGAATAACCATGTGAAAATTATTGTAAAAACCGAGTAAGGTTTTTAAAATCTTTAAATTTAATGCAAACGGCATTAATCTTATTGTAAAAATAAGATAATTATTGTAAAAATTTTAAACAGTAGGATAAATTTTTATATCGTCCCTTTTAAAAAGTCTCAAGACACCTAGGTGGTGCCAGGGTATACGCGCTAGGAGAGGGACAAAGAGAGTACTCATTAGGTGTACGGTAATGACAAACGAAAGGAACAGCAACTAACAACGGAAATAAAACAAGTGCGCGCGATAACGAATCAGCTCGGAGCTTTAATTAAAATACGCCCGCGCGCCTCGTTTTTTTGGTTATCAAGGCGCGCGTACACGAACATTTTTTTTTTACAAAAAAAAAAAGCAAAAACACAAATAGACAGTGCGTTGTTGTGCACGCGCGCAATAATTAATACAGTCGCGCGCGATAATCATGAAAATTTAACTCGCGTAATG